CCCAAAACCTGGGGGGGATGATTGTACATGCCATCCCCCCACCTTGTGAGTGTGGGGGGATGCATCCCCCTCATCCCCCCCCCCCCGTTGTCTACGCCCCTGGGTTCGAATCCCTGTCGCAGCACTGATGTCATGTTGCAACTTTGCAAGACGTGAATCTACATTTGCCACACTCCACCCAGGCGAGGTATAAATGCATGGGTACCTAGCAAGAATCAATTCCTTGAAATGCTCGAGAAGCTGTAATTTAATGGCAGCCGTGTGGGCGAATGTGCTAGACATGAGCGTCATACAATACTCCACTATTATTTTTATTATCATTATGTTGCTACATGTATCTCTGAATGGAATTACTACACGACATGACTTTCACATTATATTGAAGCGCTTTATACAAGAAACTTTACAGAATATTCTTGGCATTTCCGTTAAACTTCTCAGTGAATATTTTTTTGCACTTCAAAGAGGATAATCAGTGAATTGAAATGATTTGAAAATGATGCCAATAATAATGTACAGACAAGCCCTAAAAATATCCTTCTCAAATATCACCAACTATTATATTCTTATCTTATCAGAGAAAGAGCTTTCATTTATTTAGATTACACCTTATATTGTCTTTTACATTTCAATTTTCAGCATCAGCGTGTAATCATGCAGTTTCAAAGCAATGTTTTTGGAAATTAATGTCCTCTTTTATGTTCTAATCGCTGTCATATGATAAATGTCCCTGTTTAATTGCATTTTTACAGACGTGTTTCAATCAGATATAATTATTTACGTCTGGGGACCGATTCGAAAGACGTGACTTATTTTCGAACCTGCGTCATCGGCTTAATCAGTATGTTACTTCCCTTGTTAGATGGATTACAGGCGCACACCACAATGTCCCGGCCTACGAGTGGTATTATGTTTTATTACTTTTGATTGAAACTCATGCACTTTGGCTCTATTTCCAGGTCATCCACCGTTTGTGGAGCGGGCCCTGTTTCATAAAACTTGTTATCAATGAACAAATGCTAAATTTCTATGACAAATTTGCTCTCAGCCAATCAAATGCCACGATTTCAATAGCTTATAGCAGTTACTGTAACTTGTTATTGGTATGACGTTTTATGAAACAGGGTCCTGGTGCTATTTCTGGTGTCGCGTGGATGAGTGGATACGTCACCGGACTGTCGATCACAAGGTCTGCGGTTCGAGTCCCGCCGCGGCACTAATGTCCTTTGGCAAGACATTGATCTACATTTGCCACTCTCCACCCAGGTGTTAGATGAGTACCGGTAGGAAGAAATTCCTTAAAATGCTGTGAGCGTCGAAATCGCAGCCTAGCATAGCCGGGTAATGTTGGAGCGCCTTGAGGACCTTGCAAGGTCGATACGTGCGCTATATAAGAATCCAATATTATTATTATTTATTTATTATTCACAAGTCATGCAAGTAGCATTAAATGCACTACTGCTACATTGACATTGTTTAGTGGAATGCACTGGGCGTTAAGATTACGCGGTGCCAAGGAACAGATAACACTGATGACGGTGTATAATGGCGACTGCATTTTAACAAAGAAATGTGTAATCAATTATCAATTTCGATTGAATGTATAATTATAGGCGAATGACGCAGCAAGGTTCGATTTAATTATCGACACTTTGAAAGTAATGTTATTACCACAGCTATTTGTTGCAGGTTGGGGCGGGGAGGGAAGGAGATGGGATGAAAATGTGCACAATAAAAATTTCGTCATGCAATGCCATAATTTTATCGGAAACGGATCCATCCTAAAAGAAATCGTCATAAAGATCATGAATTTTCTAAAATCCGAAGTTGTTCCAGAATAATCGTTTTCTAGGGTCGCGTGTAATTACTACAGTCAAACCTGTCTTTTGAGGCTTCCAAGAGAAAAAGACGGCCTTTATAGACAGGTGTGCTTTTCTAGACAGATTATACAACACATACACGTATTTCTTTCTCTCTCTCTCTCTCTCTCTCTCTCTCTCTCTCTCGTTCTCTCTCTCGTTCTCTCTCTCTCTCTCTCTCTCTCTCCCTATAGTGAGACAAAATGCAAGGCTTTTATAGACAGGTGGCCTTTTAGAAAGAGAGTGGCCACTAAGACAGGTTTGACTGCGGTATACAACATTGTACTCTTATTGGTACATGACCTTAACAAATCAGTTTGGAAGAAAGCGATATATCTAGCTGCCCTCAGTAGAGCCGTTGACACTTTTACTAACTCCAAAAATGAGTTATATCTCATAAAATTAATTTAATGTGTTGTAGTCTATTGGATATGTCACCGGACGTACTGTGGACCACATGGTTCGCGGTTCGAGTCCCGCCACGGCACTAATGTCTTTTGTCAAAATTAATTAACATTCACCAGTCACCACTCCCCACCCAGGTGTAGTAAACGTGTACCTGGTAGAAATTTATTTCTTGGATGATTTTAGTGCCTTTGGTCAGCTAGGCAAAGCTTGAGCATCCCCTGTGAGGGATATGTGCGCTATTCATAATGAGGGCTGTAATCCATACGGAGTTAATATTCCTAGAATGCTTCATGATAGGATTAGAGAAAAATAAAAGAACATTCTAACCTTTATTCTTCCATCCTGCTTGATTTAAATATAGCACTTTTGCTAGCTGGAATGGTCGAGAAAGTGTAATACCGGACAGTTTGAGAGGGTAACCGATATACAGGATTAATCCCTTTTGACACAAGTTCTATAGGATGTACGTGACAGCAACGGTCACTAGCCAATATTCGTTCCATCTCTGTCTAAGTTGAAAAGCACTTTTGCCATTCAAACAATTATCGGGACTAATCTCAATACGGGATGTAATCCCTGCCGAATCTATGCAGTCCCAGATTCCTTTGAGGATGAGATTATGGAATACAAAAGGTCTATTATGAAAACACTGACGTCACTAATCCCACTTTTCCACCAATGCCCAAATGCAGTGAGCATTTCATAGGCTACAAGGTCTATGGACACCAGTCCCGGCAGCCCGTCACATCTCTATAGCTTTGAAGCCTTGCCTCAGTCACACCTTTGCGTATTTGGCTTGCGTATTGCTGCGTATTTATGGCAAGCCGTTTTAACATTTATCCCTATTTCCTCATATCAAGAAATCAATTCCTGTTGTAAAGCAATGGTAATTCTTGATATCAAGAATTCGATTTCTTGATATCGAGAATTCGTTTCTGGAATTCGAGAATTCAATTCTTGATATCAAGAAATAGGAATAATGTCGAAACAGCTTGCCATAAATACGCAGCATACGCAAGACAAATACACAAAGGTGTGACTGAGTCACTAGAAAGAACTGCTGGATAGAGTGAATGAACAACATACAAATGTATAGAAAACAACAAGGAGACGGAAGAAAAACTGGATAGGACACCTCTTATAGGGGATGATAGCATGCTAACTAAAGGGACATCTTGGAAGGAAAGATGGATGGTAAACGAGGTAAAGGAAGCCCAAGAATTGCGATGGTGTCAGGCTTGGTAGATGACAGCAGATCATGAAGAAGAAGGCTAAAGATATAGAGAGGGATGAAGAAGGAAATAATGAGGGCTCTTTAGTGTGTAATGTAGACCTGCATTTGGCAAAACACCTGATAGATCTGGACAGCGCTTTATTTTTCTTCGATACGACGTGTCATAACGGCGCTCTGACACAGTGGCGGATCCAGGGGGGGGGGGGGGGGCCCGGGGGGCCCGCCCCCCCCCCTTGAGAAAAAAAATCATGTAAAATCACGTGATTTTTACCTTTTTTGGGGGTTGGGCCCCCCCCCTGGCGCTCAAGGGGGGGGGGGGTGCAAATTGAAATTTTTTTGAGGATCAAAAAAAAAAAATGTGCTCACTACCCCCCCCCCCCCCCACTGAGCGAATTTTTGGCCGGCGCGATTTTCAAATTTTCGGGAGCAAAAAAAAAAAAAAAAAATGTGCTCTGTACCCCCCCCCCCCCCGCCCCCCCCCCCCCCCCCCACTGAGCGACTTTTCGGCCGGCGCGATTTTCAAATTTTCGGGAGCAAAAAAAAAAAAAAGGTTGGGGCCCCCTCCCCTAAGAAATCCTGGATCCGCGCCTGCTCTGACAGACATTCGTGCTCCGGTGACAATAATTTTACTTATGGTTTTGGTCGTCAAAAGTATAGGGTTAGGGTTAGGCTTTCGGAGTTGAAGTTAGGAGTCCGTTTGAGTCGGAAATTAATGTGGGGCAATAATACTGTCGCAGGAGCAAGATCGAGTCGGATGCGGATGGCTGCCTTAACAAGTCGTCGATGAGATCGATGAGATAAGATCGAAGTCCGTCGATGAGCACGAAGCCAGACCGAGAATCGGTCGGTTAGGGTCGACCGGGAGCTGTGTAATGTATTGGTGATGTGACTTGGATATTATATAGATCGACTATAATGTCACTGTTCGCATTTGGAGTACGCCCTTGTTCTTTACACCGATTATAAAGTGGAATGGACCATGCAACTACAATAAATGTCGAATTTAGATGGCTATTGATAATAACCACTCATGCAGCGAGGCTGATTTTTTTGTTTGTCTCTCAAACAAAAACGTTGTGACCTTACAATGTCATTGCTGTTTACGGAAATGAAGACGAACATACTATATTTTCGCATAAGGGCTATACTAGAGCACTACACAGATAGATCGTTCCTCGATCAGGAGACCTAGGAACATCTATCTGACAGCGTTTGGTTGATTCAACGGGCTCTACGTGTAAATAATATTCGATTGATCAAATTTAGACAACTGCAAGCAACAGCATTTGCTCTTATCGATTACCCAGGAGCATGCACTGCAATACATAAAGTATAAGGGCTTCTGGAGCACTACACGGATAGATCGTTCCTCGATCAGGAGATTTATTTGACAGAGTTTGGTTGATTCAACGGGTTATACGTGTAAATAATATTCGATTGATCAAAAGAATTTAGACAACTGCAAGCGACAGTATTTGCTCTTATCAATTATCCAGGAGCATGCACTGCAATACATAAAGTATAAGGGCTTCTGGAGTACTACACGGATAGATCGTTTCTCGATCAGGAGATTTATTTGACAGAGTTTGGTTGATTCAACGGGTTAAACGTGTAAATAATATTCGACTGTTCAAATTTAGACAACTGCAAGCAAAAGTTTTTGCTCTTATCGATTATCCAGGAACATGCATTGCAATACATAAAGCCTAAGATTTTTGTTTGCGATTGCCGTGATACTCCAACACATCCAAGAGCATGTCATCTTCTATACCATCAATTTCTCTTGATCAGTTCATGTAAATGATATCGAGATAATGGCTCCAGTCAAATATTAATATTTACACTACTCAAACAATGAAGGTTTACTATGTTTCCTCTTTTATCTCGAGTCGACGTTAAATGCATTATCTCGTCACATTATTGTATTTACAAAAGCGCATGCGCATCATCTCGTTAGTTCTACACGGACTCCCCGATTTAGAGGAGTATATTCACCCATCATAACAAGCTTGGACGGAACTTCGTCCAGATTGACAACGGTGGAAGCGAACTTTGACGATTGCGAATCTCCACCACTTTCCTCGTGAATCTCTAGCAAGAGCTACCGTTTTATGTTCGCTAATCTTGATTACTTTTGGAAACCAGACCGAAGAATAAGTGAAAAAGAGTGGGGAAAAAAAAAATCAATAAATACGATATAGGATGATGAATTTTACTACAGCTTCGCCGGATCGGGGAAGAAGAATACGTTCCAAGGTAAGATGACATAACACTTTATTGATTTATAATTTCTCATATAACATAATCACGATTGCAAAGACTTTCGAGAAACAACTTAAAGGGGATTTTCCAATACCCTATTGTATTGCCTATGTAGATCATAATTATATCGATTATCTACTGTCATTGTCATGTTCGCATATTTCATGAGCTACTGAAATGTTTTTTTCTTCTTCGTCTCCGTCTACTTCTTGTTTTTTCCTTTTCCTTCTACTTCTTATGATACAAACATTGTACATCGTCTTAGTGCATGGCAGTACCTACCAACAATAGTAAAATATCCGAATCGCGAAGGTTTTGCTCGATTTCCAGCTTGTGACATACATTGGTGGAGCACAAGGGCCTAGGCTTGAAACGAAGTCATAGCCCTACATCCCATTCAATTCAATATTCTTCAAGTGATACGGAACAAACATACTAAACATTCTGAATACTAAAGATTAATACTAAATACTAATGACATAGATAAACATATGTAACGATCAACAGATTAAAAAAACATTTGAAAAGGAGAATTTAAGTATAGGAATAGAGCCGACCTTAATCTGGTTAAGGTATAGCATACTATGCTATACTCGTACCCTAATTTCCCCTTGTGTATCATATGCTTTTTCTTTTCACATGTTTAGATGACTGTTGAATTCTGTCGAGTGTTTTACATGTCATCGTGTATATGATTCACATCGGCATACCTTTGTCTGTTCGGCTTTAACCTAGAATTTCGTGCTCCATAATAACCCTCTAGTTTTTAGGGGCGCAAGAACTGACGCCAGAAAACAATGAAAAACAGCGATTCTATGTATGACTGACCTTCCTTTGTCCGTCCTTGGTGTACTTTGTGTTTTTTTCAAGTTGAATAGTTTTTGGTGCCGTGGTTACAGCTTTGCGTTGGTTAGATTCTATGGGTCGTTGACACGCCTACCAATATTATAATAGTACACAGTCACCGTATCAATATATGCCCTATGTATACAAATATTATACTCTTCCTGTATCCGTGTAGATTTTGGGGATGTACACGTCTATTTTATAGGGATATTGTTGATTGTATGAATGGTATTTAAATAGGCCTATGCAGGCGCGTACGCAGGGGGGGGGGGTTTGGGGGGTTAAACCCCCCCCTTTGGAAATTTTTTGTGTGTAAACCCCCTAAAAAAAACCTAAAACCCCCCCCTTTTGGATTTTTTTTTTTTTTTTTTTTTTTTTTTTTTAATTATTAAAAAAAAAAAAAAAAAAAAAAATTATTCCCATGGCCGACCTAAAAAAGGTGACCTTACCCCCCCCCCAACGGAGCAAAATGTCAAATTTCCAATTTCGAGACCAAAAAAAAAAAAAAGTGTCCTCTTACCCCCCCCCCCCCCCCCCCCCCCCCCCCCCGCTTATTCAGCGGTCGGCTGAGTCGTTGCGATTTTTTTGGGACCAAAAAAAAAAAAATGTGTCCTCTTACCCCCCCCCCCCCCCCCCCCCCCCCCCCCCCCCCCCCCCCCCCGCTTATTCAGCGGCTGGCTGAGTCGTTGCGAAATTTTCGGACCGATTTATAAATGTTAAAACCCCCCCCTTGAAAAAATCCTGCGTACGCGCCTGGGCCTATGTCTTGTGGATGTATTTTGAAAATAAATTTATTTCATATAGTCCTCTCAGTGATATATACAAATTATTTTTGTAATTCCCAACAGAATTAATCTTTATGCCCTGTAGCGTTTTCGAAATTGAAGTGTCCACAATATGAATACGAAAGGCCGTAGACTTGTATAAAAAAGCTAAATATTGTACTCTCTTTCTCTCACTCCCCTCCCCTATTATATCTATCCTTCCCTCTCCCTTCTCTCTCCGTCCTTTCCAATTTCCCTACAAAAAACGTTTTCTAAATAACCTTCCTGACATTTAAGAAGAGGACCGACTATTAATGCACACACAAAGCACTCCACGCTCGGAGACTTTAATATGGACAGGCACAAATTTGATTATAACCTTTGGGAAAATATCAAGAATTGAATTATTCTACTTTTTCTAGTATGCTAAGAAGGTCATAAGAATAGTTGACAAATGTAACTTTAGGGATGACTGAATAAATCAATTTTGACCATCTCGTATACAGGCTTTTTTTTGGTTGCCTCGAGAATATAGGCCTATAATAAAAACATATTTCGAATAACGTCAAATTCATGGAAACCGCAAGATGCCCAAATGTATATTACCTTGTCCTTGGGTATTTTGATGAGGAAATAACATTTCAAAGATAGCAAAGTGTATTTTTTCCTCGCTAACTTAGGGCGCGTTTATGCTTCACTTTTGAAGGTAGAATGAGCGATTTGTAACGCTCATCGTAAACGCTCATCGTAATCGCAGTTCCACGGTGTACTGTTCATGCTCACTTCTCTGGCTCCTACAGGCAATTCTCCGTGTGTGGCCTTAATTGGGTTCCATGACACATGCTCCGCCGACGATTGCTCCGCCGGCATTTACTCCGCAAAACGCGACAATTGCTCCGCGACATTTGCTCCGCGACATTTGCTCCGACGTCAAATGCTCCGCCGACAGGTGCTCCGCCGACAGTTGCTCCGCCGACAGTTGCTCCGCCGACAAATGCTCCGCCGACAGATGCTCCGCCGACAATTGCTCCTCCGACAATTGCTCCGCCGACAATTGCTCCGCCGTCAGTTGCTCCGCAAAACGCGACAATTGCTCCGCCGACATTTGCTCCGCCGACATTTGCTCCACCTGAAGCGACACTTGCTCCGCCGACATTTGCTCCGCCGACATTTGCTCCGCCGACATTTGCTCCGCCGTCAATTGCTCCGCCGACAATTGCTCCGCCTGAAGCGACAATTACTCCGACGACATTTGCTCCGCATGAAGCGACACTTGCTCCGGTGACATTTGCTCCGACGACATTTGCTCCGCCCAAAAAGTGTCCCATTAAATACAAATGCTACTAGTACTACGACAAATGCTTCGCCGACAATATTTTTTTTTTCACGGGTTGTTTTTGTTTCTTTCTTTTTTTCTTCATTTTTTGAATGCATTTCATGACATTATGTAAATGAAATGAAATGAATGAATGTTGATAATGTGGGGGGAAAAAGCAGTTGCCTAAAAGTCATTTCGAATATACTGAAATAACTTTCCATCTATCACTGTACGTCCCACATAATGTACACTAAACGCTCATTACATGTCATGGGAAGTTTTTTTTTTTTAAAGTAGAGCAGCAAGCCACATTCCCCAATACGCGCATACCTCCTAGTTAATTTCAAACAGCTCATCAATATGTAAGACCTGAAATGACCTCAATGAAAGAAGACTAAAAACATGAGAGGAAAGAAAAGAGCAAAAAAGACAACCGTTTTTTGCTATTCCCCATAATGTTTGATTTAAAAAAATAAAAAATAAAATTATAGCTCCTTACGCAAGTTCTCCGGCGAAAGATAATTACTCCGCTCAAAATCTGTTTCATGTATTACTCATTAGCTGATCCAAAGCTCAAGGCTATCTCTCTCTCTCTCTCTCTCTTTCTCTCTCTCCCATGCTCCTCCTTTTCCTGTTTACACCGTTTTCTTGTCTTCTTTGCTCTTTTCTTTCCTCTCATGCTATTAGTCTTCTTTCATTTCCATCACTTCTTCTCTGCTCCCCCTCTCGAGTTCTATTTCTCTCGTGAAATTGAAACGTAAAGTAATACAATCATGTAGTACATTCTTGTTTAGAATAATATTTTCAATAATATCCAGTCCATTTTCTAAAGGTTTCTTTCCTTTAGTTAAGTGTAAGTAGCTTTAATATATATATGTTAGTGTGCAAAACACTCCGTTTCATTCGAGTACTTTGTTTTCACTAAATAATTTAAGGGACTCACGAAGCCACCGGAAGAAGAGCAATTGGCTTATCATGAAGAACTAACATCAAACTGCAACAAAATGATTTGTATAAATGTGAATAAGCAGAAAGGCTGCCATCTCATTTTCCCGTCTGAATGGGTTCTCTTCCTTACGTATATAAGTGCCCTTATTTTCTAAACTTTTTTTAAATATTTGTGTGTTTATTAAATTTTCAATCATATAAAAATTACATATTTACAAGTCATTGGTAATAATTAGACAAACAAAAAAACCAATATGTATAAGAACAACTAACAATAATGAAAGGACAAGAAAGTTATAAAAAAAAACATTATAGTAAAAAAAAAAAATACACTGTACACATATAAATCATAGTTTGAACTCCAGTGCATAAAGGGGAGTGAGGGGGCACAGGAATAAAAGTTAAATCAACATGAGTATCATAAGTCAAATCGCCATTTCTTAAAATGCGAAACAAGCTTGTTCCTTTTTTTCGCTGAGAAATATTCAATATCTTTTTGTTTCTTTATAAAACTCTTAAAAAGATCAACACTTGGTAAATCCCCCTTACTTATTTTCTAAACTTCCATGATGACCTATTACATTGTATAATGCTTTACCTAGTAAGATGCATTGATCGAGGTAATTTCAGGTATTACATATTGATGAGCTACTTGAAATTAACTAGGAGGTATGCGCGTATTGGGGAATGTGGCTTGCTGCTCTACTTTTTTTAAAAAAATTCCCACGACATGTAATGAGTGTTTAGTATACATTATATGGGACGTACAGTAATAGATGGAAAGTTATTTCAGTATATTCGAAATGACTTTTAGGTAACTCCTTTTTCCTCCCACTTCATCAACATTCATTCATTTCATTTCATCTACATTATTTCAAGAAATGCATTCAGAAAATGAAGAAGAAAAAAAGAAACGAAAAAAATAGGTGTAAAGAAAATATTGTCGGCGAAGCATTTGTCGTAGTACTAGTAGCATTTGTAGTTTATGGGACACTTTTTGGGCGGAGCAAATGTCGTCGGAGCAAATGTCGGCGGAGCAATTGTCGCTTCAGGCGGAGCAATTGTCGGCGGAGCAATTGTCGGCGGAGCAAATGTCGGTGGAGCAAATGTCGGCGGAGCAAATGTCGGCGGAGCAATTGTCGCTTCAGGCGGAGCAATTGTCGGCGGAGCAATTGTCGGCGGAGCAATTGTCGGCGGAGCAAATGTCGGCGGAGCAAGTGTCGCTTCAGGCGGAGCAATTGTCGGCGGAGCAAATGTCGGCGGAGCAATTGTCGCGTTTTGCGGAGCAATTGACGGCGGAGCAATTGTCGGCGGAGCAATTGTCGGCGGAGCAATTGTCGGCGGAGCATCTGTCGGCGGAGCAATTGTCGGCGGAGCAACTGTCGGCGGAGCAACTGTCGGCGGAGCAACTGTCGGCGGAGCATTTGACGTCGGAGCAAATGTCGCGGAGCAAATGTCGCGGAGCAATTGTCGCGTTTTGCGGAGTAAATGTCGGCGGAGCAATCGTCGGCGGAGCATGTGTCGGGTTACCCTTAATTGGTATTCCAGCTGGATTCGCAAACCTTCACTGTGCATGCTACGTAGACCCACTAGAGGTCAGTGCGTTGACCCCATTTAAACGTGTTTACAATTTGTAAACGCATCTTTTTGTGAGTTTACGATCGGCGATCGTGATCGCCGTTTTTCGGTGATTCTACAAAAGTGAGCATGGACGCAACGGTGTTTTAAACTAAACGCGTAACAGATGCCTGATTTTGGCCAGAAAAAGTGAAGCATAAACACGCCCTTACTCGCCTGCAAAATTTAGAAACGGGTAAGTTTCAGGCAGCGGAGTTCATGACTATCCCCATGATGATAAGACTATACATGGACACCTCGCTGCCCGAATATAACCTTATTCATTCATTAGTACATGTATATCGAAATGCAATTTATACCACTGTGACAATGAAAGTCTTTTTTCCCCTCGTTCACTTCACCCCTTGCAAAATTGATTTATTCATTCTATTTTATTTTTTTTGATCACATTTCATCAGGATAACAAGATCCGAAAGGACTGGTTTACATCCTGGTCCTGAATATTAAAAGCTTTCATTAAAACATCAAAATAAATAATTCATGCAAGAATTGTTAAAATACTCATTAAGTCATGATATAAATATTTAGAGACCACAATTTTGATTAGAAACCAAATAAAAATTATATGATATTTAATTAAATATATAAAAACACAATAATGGAATCAACTAATCTAATCTATTTAAAATCACAATTATGTCACAACTAAATAACCATCTCATGAAGTACCAAACTAAACTTAAAGCAGAAAGAGCAGAATCAATGATGATAATATTCATAATTTGGAGAAATAGGTTTTTTATACATGTTTTAAAATAGTCGATGGATTGTGCATTTTGTAGATTAGAGGGTAGGTTATTCCATACTTTGCCGCCTGCGTAACGTAGACTATTCTTAAAAAAATAAATATTAGGCTTGAGAAGGACAACACTCATTTAGTTAGCCAATCTCGTATTCATTGGGTGCCGGTCAAATACCATGCCAATAGCATTGCACAAACGTAATGGAGCGTAGCCATGGATACAAAATATACATGCAAGAAATAGTTCCGTCTTTCTTCTGAAACCTGCCATTTCAATCTTTTAACAATATCAAGACCACTTTACTTAAAATCAAAATTCCTTTTAAATATTCTTGCTGCTCTTTTTTTGTAATCTAAGGATGCTTGTTATATACAGAACAACTCCCCCGTATCGAACATGCGCAATCTAATATAGGTTGGATTGTACATGTATACATTTTATTCAAAACATTTGTATCGGTGAAATTACTGACCTTTTTTAAAGAAAATATTTTATAAGGTAACGATTTACTAAGTTTCTTTACATGAATATTCCAGGTTAATATTTTGTTCATGTTTGCTTTTATTACCATCCAAAGAAATGTTTAAATCCTGAATAGTTTGTGAGTTGCGTTTCAATAACATACTGTACGTTTTTTCAGTATTAACTTTTACTTTATTTCTTTTATACCACTTACTATTTTCTTCTAGATGAGCCTGCAGCTTATCCCTTATAACTTCGATATTTTTATCAGAAATATATATAACAACGTCATCAGCATATATATTGCATGAACATGATCTTAAACATTCACTTATATCGTTAATACAAACAAGAAAGAGGAGAGGACCCAGTGCACTGCCATGGGGTATTCCAAATTTCCAATAGACAGACTCTTAAAATAAGACAATTTCTCATGACAATAAACAGTTTTTTTTCTACCAGACATGTAGTTCGTAAACCATATCGACACATTATTCTGAACACCATATCTTTCTAATTTTTGGAGTAATAAATTATAATCGATAAGTCGGGATGATTCCAGGCATCGAGATGACCGAATAAATATTCAACCTTTATCTAGTATTTAAATTAATATTTGTGCCGTAATAAAAGTGCAATTGTTTTCGCTCGCTCGCAATATTTGAGAACCGGGCAGTATATTTTCGGGTAAGAGGCCCTCACGGCCCGGACGCGAAAATGTGCCCGTGCGTCTATGTATACCAGGGATGGAAAAAAATTTCTTTGATGAATTTCCCATTGGAAAAACGCGTAACTTAAACTTTTAAAAGGGTGCCGTGACTAAAAAAAACAGAGGAGATGAAATACGCCGATCTAGTACTAGATTGAAAACTTGTACCCCCTCTAATTATTTCTTTCTGGGGGATCCACAAACTACAAGCACTGCTTTTTGGTGGATCCCCCCATTTCCTCAGAAATTAAGAATTTCTTGTAATAATTGTATTACATGCAATTATGTGTAAAGTGTATTTAGATAATTACCAAGAAAACAAAAATTATGTAGATACATTTTTTTTCATACTCTCTGTAATAGCAGTACCTTTGTTTATCTTTCTGTTTGAAATAAAATAAATATGAATTGAATTGAATTAATGACTGAGCCCCCGCTACGCCGCTGTATGGCAGTTTCCTGAAATCCCCTCAGAGAGTGTAATAGCCTTGGTACTATTGTTCTCATGAATATCGATGTACAGTGCGATCGCGGGTTTGCACAATAATATGTTTTGATAAAGGAATCACGGTAAAAAGAATCGCGTTCCAGCCTTTTGTCCATAGTCGATGAATTAAATCAGAAAAACCTTCAATACGTTTAATTTGAAGTTCGATGCTACAAGCATGACATACTGGCAATAATACAATCCTTGTATTTTCACTTTAAAATACCATGTAATATAATTTTTTTAAATTAAAATTCTTTGAAGTACCGATACGGTTAAACCCCGGGAATCTATTTGGTTCTGAATGCGTTTCCGCCATGTTGTTGACGTTGTTTTGCATATTAAAATTCAGGAACTTTTAATAGCCTGATATATCACGATAATAATAATAATTTGAAATCTTGTTCAGCGGCTATAACATTTGATATTAAATCAGTTGGAATTCATTTCACACCTGTATAATGTTGTCTTTTAATGTAAAATAAGTTACAGTAATGATTTGCACCCATACATGAGGATTCAAGTAATGTTTTACATTCTCAGAGCAGGAAAGTTATTTTTGAACTCGCTAATTTGGGTACAGCCTATGTGATATAGTCATATCACTGTTTTATGAATTAAGCGAAACTTTAAAATGACATTTTCACTGTTTTGTTTGTTTGATTTATTCAATTCAATTTTGAAATAATTCGGACTTGCCCTTTAAGTTATCTTTATCAATGAGTATTACTTTTACAATATGTTTAGCTATTGTCCAGCGTTAACCCAACTTCCAGTCTACCCTATAATTACGTGTATAGTGTCGTGGTATAGTGGTTAATTCCCTTAACTCTAAATCCAAGGGTTACGGGTTCGAATCCAACCTCGGCACTAACGTAATTTTTGGCAAGACATTAATCCATATCTGTCCCCTCTCCACCCAGGTGTAAATGACTACCTGGTAATTGCCAAGCTGATAATAATTGCAGGGACCACATGAAGAACATCATGGATGATAATGAGGTTTCCATGGAAAAACAAAATTATCATTATTATGTTATTATAAATGTCGCAAACGATTTGTTATTATTTTCTTCCTTTTTCAGCCTTTCCGAATGGCAGGAGTGCTGCAATGCCACCCGGCACGACATGGATTTTCAGTGCGGGACAACGCTGACAGCCTTCTCGTCATGTGACAAGCTACTCGACAACCTTGCCATCGAGGTACTCGTCTGGATCGTTGGGATGTCGTCCTTCCTCGGCAACGCGTTCGTCCTGATTCTACGATCTCGGACCTTCTGTTCAAAGACATCACGCATAGCTCGCATCAACGCCCTCATGATCCTTAGCTTAGCGGCTGCGGATATCCTCAATGGTATCTATCTCCTCATCATCGGTAGCGTTGGCGCGAAATTCGGATATGATTACTACTTCTTCGCCGATAAATGGCTTGGAAGTCCACTATGTCAGGTAGCTGGCTATATGGCCACGGTGTCGGGTCAGATGTCGGTGTTCATGTTGACGCTGATCAGCATCGAACGCATGCTTGCCATCGTTTTCCCATTCCGATTAGAATTCCACATGGGCATCAGGACAACCGGAATTGCCATCATGTTCATTTGGCTTGTCTCAATCATCATCTGCTCCATCCCGTTCATGTTCCCTTCGAGCTTCACTGGTTTCTACGGCAACTCGGACGTCTGCATAGGACTTCCGGTGGGGCTCTACATCTACGCTGTTCCGGGAGGCGGTGAGTCGGGCGAGTTGGAGATTGAAGGGTCGTCGTGGTACTTCGGAATCGCTATCTACGTCGGGATCAACGTCCTCTGCTTGTCCACCATCCTCATTTGCTACATCATCATTTTCTACGTGGTGAAGCGTTCTGGTCGACGAGCCAACCGCACCAAGGACAGCCTACAGGAAATCCAGATGGCGGGAAGGATGGCGGTGATCGTCTGTACCGACTTCGCTGCCTGGTTTCCTATCGTAGTCATGTTCATCCTCGTTCTCGTACACGCTTGGAACATGCCTGCCACTCTTTATGCTTTCGTCGTGGCCCTGCTACTCCCAATCAACTCAGCATTAAATCCCTATATCTATACCATCACACAAGTTATGTCAAAGAGAAGAGAACGTTTAGGAAAGAGTACAAACATTTCTGGAATTAGTGGGGTATCGTTAGATAAACTGACTTAACTTCTTTTGTTAAAAAATTAATCGTGCTCTTAGACATCAAAATGAGGCTAACTTAATGGCTTTTTTGTTCTGGACATTCATGCTTTTTAACAGTAGTGACATGAAAAAATAGAAAAATCATTAAAAAGGGATTGCTGAAACCATTCATCTTTATTATACAGCGACACAATATTATATTGGTAATACATGTACAGAGCACATTCGTACTTTATATTTTTGTTTGTTACTGTACTATTATAGTAAGTTAAGTTATAGAATCATTCGAAACCTTTAAATGTTTCGAAATTTTTCATTTAGATTTTAATAATTTTTAAAACGTGTAGTTTGAATTTTCTTGCCATCAAATGTACTATCGAGAGATTACAAAGACTTTGTCTTATTGTATTATAGGGATGAAGGTTTACTGAAAATATATGCAAGTTAATTATGTAACAATCTCTCTCAGGTGTTCTGACAATTGCATGTCCACACGTACACCAGAGCCTTCTATATAGTCCTTCTCCATACCTATATATCTTTAGCCTTCTTCTTCATTTTGCATGTCATTATTATCTGCCATCTATCAAGTCTGACATCACTTCTATTCTTGGTCCACCTCTTCTTCGTTTACCATCCATCTTCCCTTCCAAGATACCCCTGAGCATGTTCTTCCCCCGTAAGACGTGTAAGACGTGTCCTATCCATTTTTTCTTCCGTCTCCAGATTGTTTCTCTCAAGCTTCTTTGTTCATGGTTCTTTCCTTCTCTCTAGCACTTCTTCATTGGTGACCGTGTCCTTCCAAGTAATTCCTTCCATTTTCTCCTCAGCCACATTTCCAAACTGTCAATCAACCTTTCCTCAGCTCTCCCGATTGTCCAAGTTTCGGAGCCATTCAATGCTGCACTCCAAACCAGACAAGACAGTCTCTTCCTAAGATTTAGATTGATCCTTTTTGCTGTCAGTACCCTAACGTGTGTAGAGAATGCCTTCTGAGCTAGTGCTGTGCGAGTTTTCATTTCTCTGGTGTTGCATCAATCACTAGAGATGTAATAATATACTCACAATAATTTTTAAAAATCGACATTCATAGTAATAAGAGCCATAACCCTATAGAAGCTAGGGGTGCTGAGGTAGGTGTACTTCTCCATAGGATGCTGTATGCATGAGGTGCTGTATAAGCGAATTATAAGTTGAAAAGACAAACATGACAAACTTTGAGACACCCCCTAAAAACGAATTAAATGTAAAAACCTTTGGTTTTCTTGCTTAAATTTGCTCACAGGTGCCTGGTAAAAGCGAATTAATACTTTGAAATAAGCTCTTATTTTTTATGTAATTAACTTGTCCATGTTTTCAGAGAATATTAAAAACCGACAGTTATAATGGATTGTATTCATGATTTATGTTAATATTACTGAATTTAGGTTCTTTCATTACTCCATCCTCAGAGCAAATATTTCATTAATTATTATGTTCATTATGAAGAGACAAAACATGTTAATTTTTCATACCTCTTACTTTGTAACTCACTAAGCAGGATTATTAAAAATAAGTCTCTTCTCAGTACGTCCGTATTGTCTGATCTTATTAAAGTATTAATGTACATTGAATTCTCCTATTTAAGTGGATTCAAGAGTGATTTGTCAATATTAACTTATCATGAGCGCAAAATACAACTGTATAAATATGATGACAATCATGCACGCACGCATGCATGGTCGAATCTGTCAGTTGTAATAGATTGATTTGTCGATAAAAGTACTTTCGGTTGAAATTAGTCTGTTCGCATTGATTCATAATATGGAATACAACACATCTGTACAAATATAATGACATTTGTCAAGTAGGGGAGGCGCCTGTATTCAGGGGCGGATCCAGCCGGCGACCAGATTGGGGGCCCAAATCTTGAGAATTTTTTTAGCGCCGACTCAGCCGGCCGGTGAATAAACAGGGGGGGGGGGGGGGGGCGAGGGGGGTAAGAGCACATATTATTTTTTGGGGTACAGTTTTTGAGGAAAAATTTAGCGCCGACTCGGCCTGCCGGTGAATAAGCGGGGGGGGGGGGGGGGGGGGTGGAGCACATTTTGTTGTTGTTTTGTTTTGTTTTGTTTTGTTGGGGGGGGGGGGCCCAATTCGTGAGAAAATATTTAGCAGCGATTCATCCAGTCGGGGGGGGGGGTGATGGAAAGGAAAACCACTATTTTTGGGGGGTGGGGTGGGCGAATTTTTTTTTTTTTTTTTTTTTTTTTTTTTTTTTGGGGGGGGGGTGCCCGCTTTTGTTTTTTGTTTTAAAAAAAGGTTAAATTTACGTTATTATCCTATTTTATTAACAGTTTTTTTATGGGGGGGGGGGCTGGGGGAAAGCCATTTGCGGAAATGTATTTACAAGGGGGCTGACGCCGGATATCAACTTTCCAGTTTCTATTTTTTTTAAAAGATACCTTGCTTCGTAATATAAATATTTAAAAAAGGTGATAAAAATTGCATAATCGGGCAACTCACTACAAATCACCCAGTATGTCTATGCCTCTATTGATTTTGTTCGGAAGAAGCTCAGTCAAGTTTCATTTTTATTTAAAAACATGCTGTCGAAATAAATTATTATTATGGTTTAAACAGAACTAACGAAATTGAAAACGTTTCGTGAAATATATAGGAAAACGAGTTTTAAGAACATCAAGGTGTTGAATAAAAGTTTGTTAGAACCAAATAATCCTTGATAACCCCGAGGAAATCTTCCTCAGGATAACTACCACAGGGCCCAGAAACACAAATGTTTGCATTCAATTGCATCGGCGTTTTTTACTGGTTGATGGTCAGCCTTTTGAACAATATGTGCAGACAACGATGGTCCTGATTGGCCATTGTCATTTTAGTTTAATTGATTGCAAACCTTTGTGTTACGGGGTCCAGGACTTCACAAAGAATATCATCCGGTGCGTAAACCCCCCCCCCAAAAAAAAAAAAAAAAAAAAATTAATTTGCCCCTGCACTGCATTATGTAGGGTCTAGTTGTCAATAACCAAATGTAATAAAAGGGGGGGGGGGTAGGATAGATAGGGGAGAGGGAGTGAGAGCTGAGACAGTGAGAGAAGGGAGAGAAGAATGGAGAATGGAGAGAGTGGAAGGAAGGAGAGATAACAAGAGAATGAAAGACGTACAAGAAAGAGAGAGAGAGAGAGAGAGAGAGAAGGTTTTCGTGTATCGGCGTGCGTGTGCGTGTGTGTGTCCGTGCGTCCGTGTGTGGGTGGGTATGTTTGTGAGTAGTAGGGGGAGCGGGGAAGAGCAGGACTTTTTTCCTACCAGTAAAATAACCTCCATATTAGTTAAATATTGTTTTAATCTATAGAGTGAATAACATGTACAATATTATTGTCTTATACTTTATGTTTATGTCCTTTAAGTTTACTTTGTTGCTCAGTTATAATAAACTGCAAATGAGTTTTTGTTTAACCATGTTTATGTATAAACAATTAATATTGAAAACGCTTATTTATTTTATTCAAATGTATATGTTCTTGTTTGTATAACATTTGGAGGAATACAAAAAAAAATACCATAACAAAAAGAAAAAAGTGTGTGTTTGTGTATGATTATTTGAAATTGTATGAACGGACTGACACTATATGAAAAAAACCCAATACCGATAGAGTATTTTCTAAAATATAAGACAAGACTAATATAATCTTAAATTGTTAAAGCCTCTATCAGGGATTAGCATGCAAGGTCTCACAAACTTATCTCAAAATGTATCTATAGCAACAAGATGTGTTGATGAAGGTATGTAGACAATTTCAGATCAGATGACGTTGTGGTTTTCTCTTTTTGAGTGAAGATTGAAGCCCTCATTTTGTACACAATAAATGAGGTGAATAAACATTGCCAGCTGCAGAATTTAATTTGAAAAGAACAATTAATGTATTTTTGCTAATAATAAATATTTTGATTTTGAGATTTTAACCGTGCAAATCCCTGTCACGCCCTTTAAAACACAAATACTAACACTGACTAAAATTCGTATTATTATTATGTATTACATCATAATCACTCGTATCGAAAGCATCATTCCCAAAGTTTTCCATGAGCGTGTGAACGGAATTCTATCCTGGCCCACGTGGTTACAACATTATCAGACTTTCACTGACATCCTACACTTTAATTCCGGCCAAAAAAACACGTGTTTTATGATCCCATACCAGTGTTTTTTCTTTTTAATTATTTCCTTCTTTATGAAGACACAATTTTTTTTTTTTTTTTTTTATAGATATAACAAAATAAATATTCCGCCCACACTGTCTCTGCGTCTCTGCGTGTCACTGAACTTAATAAATATAACCATGACTTGTGATCATTTCCGACAAAAGTAACTTAGCAGATGCGACTCGAATTACTCCGCAGTTTCAGGGGCGGATCCAGAATGGTTAGAAATGAGGAGGTGGAAAGGGGGGGGGGGGGTGTCGGGGGTGATGATTTTTTTTTTTTTTTTTTTGCAGAATGAATGCTATAGTTTGCGTTTAAACAGGGGGAAATGGACTGGTTGTTTTGCCCTTAAAGGCATCGTTTCACCATGTTAAATCTTAGATGCATGCCCCTGCCGTGTTATCAGTGTCACTCTGTGATATGGTGTAATATTGAAGCCCTAAAAAATTGCGCTTCAAAATGATCATGAAGCGCCTCAAAAAGTAAAAGTCTTTGAGTGACCGGTTTTACCATACTCATTTCCCCCATTAGACTGTAGTGTTATAAAAAACGTTAGGAAAACGATTTTTAAAATTTTGATTTCTATTCATAAATATTTGATAATTAGACAGGCGATCGGATTATACAATTCATGGGTTCCTGACTGACCTAAAGGTTTATAATTATCATTGCAGCGTGAGCTAAATCCAAGATTTTGTTTCAGAATCTGAGACAAAGTTATCCGATCCCTTTAAAGGGACTTGGTAACATCGTTCAGATGACAAAAAATGGTGCTAAGGTAGTGACTTCAATGCTACATGTACAATTAACATTAAATTCTCCTAACCATTTTTGAATTTTCCCAACCGTTTTTCCATGAAAATAAGACATAAGACAGGCTTTTAAAAATCTTACAACACTTAAATGTCTGGAATGGTATATAGAGCTAATGCATTGCTTTGTGAAGATTTAAATTCACCTTTAATGTAATTAAATTGTAATGCTATAGTTGAGAGAATTAAGGAATCGATCAGATCAGTTTTTCCCAATTGTTATCATTAATTTAATTTCAATTCAATTCAATTTCGGTTTATTAATATCAAAATATACGATGTACAATGCAGTAGTCCAGGGACCAATAATGCAATGTTTACATAAAATGTGCATAAAAACAGGAAAGATCATATAAATTATAAATATACCAACAAAAATGATAAAAGATAAAGTTAACATTATTGTTCATACCTAAAGATATATACATATATGAATAAATGATAATAGATGGATTAAAAACCTATAACAGTAATTTGAAATGTTGAACCAATTATTGCAAGTATACATAATCTTTAAATTAAGAAATTATTTTTAAAAATATGTTTATATAGACTATATAGAGAGAGGGAATTATTTTATTTCAATTGTTAAAATGAGATCCATAGACTGAAAAAGTATACATGCAGGTGTGTCTGTTGTGTGACAGGTAAGGTCAAATTATATTGAATGGAATTATTACATTAAAAATATACCATTTAAGCATTCCATATAAATTTATCTATAATGCCTATGAGCATACACAAATTCTTATAATTGTTGAGTTTCCACATTACATTTAAAATTGAAGTTGGGTTACAATTATATTATTGCAGCAGAATTATACACGGTGGTTTAAGAACAACTTTATAAGAAAAATGAAGAGCACTCAATAATGTTTGCACAAAATTTTGATTTTGGGATCGATTTTGAGTTCAATTAAACAAAGTAACAAAACAATAACTCTAATATTATTAAAAGGAAGAAGAACAAAAAAAGGATACATTACTATAGATGATCTACAACTGAGCATTCTGCAACTTTAAGAGCTCCATATTAGCGACATTAGTGCGGCATGTAGATAAAGAAAATCATATTTTAACAAAAATAATCACGGAAATTTCTAGTTCTACCTAGCTCAAACCAACTTTGAGCTAGGCTAAATGATTTTGAAAGGAGGGGGACCGGGTCGCCTGTTTTCCTTTACATCCACCAATACAACACCTGACATTTATCATGCGGTCTAGGGGCACCCATAGGGGTTCGAAAGTGATCGCTCGTGACCAGTAACATTTTTTCTTCAAATAAAGCTGCCTAAATAATTCCTACCTGATAATTTCACTTTGATATGAGAATCAAATCGAAAGATAAATAAAATGCGACGAACGTTTAAACTCTCAAACATGTGTCATAAGAGATGATGTGAAGTCCACGTGAATGAAATGAAAGGAATCTCCACAATGTCACGCGAGTCTATAAGGTCATGTTATTAATGAAAGAGATAACTTTGTGTCCTTGCCAAAACCTGACTAAAAATTTCAGCAAAAAAGGGTGATTGAAGGTTGCATCGACAAGGAGGTGGGGGGGGGGGAGCGTTTATTTGACGTCGGACACAAACACGAAGGCCCAAACCAAAATTGGGATTTTCTCAACAAGAGCTTTAACGTGCCCTTGATTGCTAACACTTTCCAACAAGTTTTTTTTTTACTTCTAAAATACATTTAATATAAAGAAATGGAAAATTCAAATTATCGAACCAAAAGGAAAGAGAAAATTAACAAAGTTGAAATACTCTTTCCAAATATACTTGTTAAATACATTTCATTGTCTGGAAAAAAAGACATAGAAAGTACGAAGAAGGATTTTAGTGATTGTAATGATGGTCAAAAGATGAAGCATAAAGCTTCAATTAAATAAACAGAAGAAAGGTTTGCATTTCGACTAGAAACAAAATATAAAGCATATCCGGACTTTTTAACACGCAACTTTTTTCACATGATGGTTCACGGGGATATCTTTTGTTATACTTATACCGTCTAATTTCATTGATTTCGAAATCGAAACAAAAAGACTTTCTTTCCCTTTTATTTCCCTTTAATTGAGTGCAGATGTAATTAATTTCCAGGCAACTTATTGAAAGTAGTAAAGAAATCAACTGTTGTTCTGTCCACCAATATAACTTCAATATTTCTTTACCATGCAGTGCAATGTGCTGTTACGCATGCGTAGATAATTACGGTGATTATAAGTCTACGGATTATTCTTTCGAAATAGAGTGTGAAAAAGGTTTCAAAGCTCAACTGAAAAGAAACTGCATCATGATCGGAGCATATAAAAGAACTACGCATTTTTAAAATAGACATTATAACATAATAGTCCGTCTCATTTTTGTAGATGCTTGATATCTAAAAAGGTATTCTGATTTGGCGATTGTAGCACACGCAACAACATCTTCAGAAAACAAGAGAAGGATACAACCAGCAATAATCAATGAGATTTAAAGCTACAATTTCCATCAGCGCATCACTTGAATTTGAATTTCGTATAACATTATCTGTCCATTACTATGTCGGTGTCGGGTGCAGAGGTTTGTAGCGGTGATCGAGCTGAATCGAGTCGACTTTTCGTTCAGTGCCAAAAGAAATGTCCGAAGATCGTGACTGATTTTGGATGTTCACTAGAGAGCTCGGGAGGGCCTGATGGTGGCCATTCAGTGGTGGAGGTAGATTGGTCCGGACTAGCTTGGAAGGCTGGATGCAGGTAAGATATGTTACTGTAATAATATCATAATAATCACAATTTATTGTGGTTGTATTAAATCCCCTCTACACTAGTTTGGAATGAAGGGAATAGACCTCCCTGCGAGGTCACTGGCAGGTGGTTGTCTCATCTAATCAGCTCTTAATTTACATAAGAAAAAGGGCATCATGGGGGATCAACGGCTACCGCTTTGGCATTGTTGGCTGTATAGAGAGCGAAGTAGCTATACGTAGTACAGTGGGGCTTTAAAGCAGGGCAGCCACATGCATTATTGATAAACTAGGCTATACGACTCTTCCTGCCCTTGGGCCCTGAAAATATAATAACACCAACAATATTATCAGGTACCCATTGTTTTAATGCACATAAAGATCGTGAGGGAATGTGCGTAAACACCTTGTCCATGTGTGTAAGCACCGATCAAGGATATAACTCAGGACCGCTAGAAGGAGAGTCAAAAGCTTTCAGGTTCTGTAAATTACACGGTGCTCTCATGCACACAATAATAATAATAGTATAGATATATCGACTGCTATTATGAGAGGCATCAAGGGGACGTTACGTCCTGATATGACCCCGAGGCGCGCCGGGGCGGGCGGCGTCCCCGAGAGCCAGTATCGAAACAGCTTTGCTTCGAATATATCGCTGGTTTTGGATGTTCGCCCTTTTTCAGCTGGTCGCCCTTTTTGATATTTTCTAAATCTCTTACGTGTTGACGATGGATTGTCATTCTATTCCTTAAAATTTCTCTCGTCTCTCCAATATATTGTTTGCCACAACCAATACAATTTAGACAATAAAAGCAAGATTTTAAATGTGCATGAAAATGTATCTTTTAATTTGATTTTTTGAATAAATTCCCATTAATGTTAAAATGATATTATCAGTGGTGGGCATATATGGGGACGTTTTACATCTCTTCGTTTCAATGAGGCTGAGGGCAACAGTTTCTTTAAATTCTGCTCCTGTCAGACCTGTCTCCTATTTGACAGGTAAATATTTTTCTAAGGATGAGAATCTTGAGTTAAAAGGGGGAACGTGTGTTTGATAATATTTGAAACATAAAATATATTTTCTTCTTGATTTGTTTTCTCTTTTGTTTGTCTCAAAACATTGTTTTATGTCACGTGCATTTTGTATACCTCTGATGATATTGTCCGGATATGTCCGAATCATGAGCATGGATTCTCATCCCTTTAGTATTTTTCTCTCACTTCTTCATACGATATATTGTTCAAATTCTCCATGATACGTGCTCAAGAACGTTATGAGATCATTATTCCTTTATGCATCGGCGCAGCGGCACATTCAATGATACCCAGGAGGAACTATTCTTTACAAGAGGGTAAAAAAAAGGTATTCTTGAAGCATCTCCGTCACCTTGGCAGAGATTATTCTAAAATGTACAAAGTTGGACTTCTCCATGTTTAAAGGACCTGGCGATATTTGGGAGTCATTTTGTATATCAGTGATATATCCAAAATGGCTAATTATTAATATGAGCGTATTTCGTTATAAATTATTATGGGGTATAGGTTTAGTGTTACAATTGGGTTTTAGGGTTGAAGTGAAGTATTTGGCTATACTAGTGTAGGAAATTATCAGGAGCAATAATGATCACAGGAGAAAACACCGTACGACCGGGGGGGGGGGGCATGGGACAAGTACCTCTGGTTTAAACAAAATGGGGGATGACAAGTGAAACAAGGTCGCAAGGAGGAACTATAAGGAAACATGGGAGGGGGGAAGTGGATGTGGAAAGAACATGGTACGACCCCATCCATTCCCCACTGGATGGTCGTGTTTATACCAATAGAAAGTAAAACCGGACCCCCTTCCATATTACAGCCACAGCCATTTAGTCCAGTATACACTAGCGATCACCGGTTGGTATGGACAGGTGGGGCACCGCTCTTACTCAGTATAGAGGTGTCGTAGTCCAGTGGCTTAATCACTTGATTTGAAATGCAAAGATTGTGGGTTCGATCCCGACACGGCACTAAGTATCCATTGGCAAGGCATTAATCTAAATTTGCCACTCCATACCCAGGAAAGAAATGGGGACCTGTTAGGATGACGAAACTTAGTGTAAATTGCCATATGCCCTCACGGTGACCTTACTGTAGGAATTAATACTCCCCAGGAAATGGAGATAGTGCACACTATGCGTGAATGAATCCGATGACCAGGATAATAATATCTGTTAAGTGCTTTTAGAGACAGTATGTTGTATTAAGCGCTATAAACATCCAGATTATTATTCGGTTGATCAAATTAACAAGGTCATTAAATTATTAGGGGGAAGGTAAAAAGAGGTTCGAAGCGACTTCTTTTCACTTTACCTTCTCGCTTTCCATTTCCCTTCTTAAAAAACAAACAACCCTTTTCTTTCTCTTCCTCATTTTACTGGGGCACAGATGCAAGCGCCCCACCCCCGATCAAAGTGATCAAAAACAACAACAACAGTAAACAGAACAAATAGAAAACTCAAACGAGACCTTGCTTCCACGAACCCAACTTGTTCTCCAGTAGTATTGGGTATACTAGTCTTCTTAAAAGTATTACAAAGTTTTGGGAAATTTTGAAAAATGGGTGGATAGTGATTCTTTCCAATTTTGATATATTAGGATGCCCCTGTGGATGTATTAAAAACGTCAGAAATTTTAGCCCCTAAAACATTTCTGCTTTCGAGAAAAATTGAATATAAAGATTTACCGGTGCTTCCGGTAAATTTTGATAAATTTCAAATAGCTCCTACGGCCGTACAATGTTAGCTGCGACCATGAAAATCTCAGAGTATGTAGTTGTGGTATATAATTTCTGAACGAGAATAGCTAATCGGTTGAATTTAGTCAATATACATTGTTTTATAGCTTAATTAATATCTTGACCTTGAGAGGGAGCTATTCAACATAAAGTGTTTATTATTTACAATTTCAAAACTTTAGAGTCGGTTTCGACCGCGACAACGATCACTGAATATTGTAGGATCGTATATGCTTCTAATATGTTCATTTGAACCAAATTCATGACCCAATACCAAAACTTTGTATTACCTTTAAACAAAAATATTTTTGTTTGCACATTGTCGACAAATAAATTATTGAATGCTCCAACTAAATAATTATGTGGATATTTAGTTGGGGATTTGCCCCCCCCCCCCTGCCCCTTGTCTGCGCCAATGGCGATAATAGTGGCCATGTATTAGTACTCTCTCTCTCTCTCAAGTGGGGGGGGGGGGGGGGGGAACTTAGCGTCCGGGCTCCGTATGAATCCTTTTTCTGTCTTTTTTTCATTTGATTGACACATATTTTCATGAATGAAATGTGGTTTCTAACATCAAGATAACCATTTAAATCATGCCTTCGTTTCCTTCTTATTGTCGTGTTTTATGTATGTGATTTTGTTTCGTTTTAAGTTTGCTTTTTTGTGTTTTGTGTTATTTTTGTTCAATATTTCACTAACTTGCTTGCTTTTTGGGGGCTGAACACCTGCTAAAGAAAAGAATCATGACTCCGCAACTGAGTATGATCAATTACTCTTGGCATTCATTCTTTTTTCGTCTCTCTCTCTCTCTCTCTGTTTTACTCCTTGCAGAAACCGTGACGTAATCGTGGCGGTGAATGCTGCCGATATGAAGGTGACGGATGTGGGTCATAGTTCTCTCGTCGAGTATCTGAGAGACAATGGACAAACATGTTCTCTGGTATGTCTTCCTCTGCGATAAGTCATACTGTCATGTTAGAAAGCTAACCTTAGTGCTCCGATTAAAAGAAGAAGTAGAAGGAGACAGAGATGAAGATGAAGAAGAAGAAGGGAGAAGAAGAAGAAGAAGAAGAAGAAGAAGGAAAAGAAGAAGGAGAAGAAGAAGCAAAAGAAGAATTAGAAGGAAAAAAGAAGAAGGAGAAGAAGAAGAAGCAAAAGAAGGAGAAGCGAAAGAAGAAGAAAAAGAAGAAGAAGAAGCAAAATGAGAAAAGAAGAAGAAGAAGATAAAGAAGGAGAAGAAAAGAAAAGGAAGAAGAAGGAGAAGAAAAATAATAAGAAGAAGAAGAAAAAGAAGGGAAAGAAGAAGGAGGTGAACGATGAGGAGGAGAAATCAGGTCTCAATTCGTATGAAATCTATACAGCAAATTATCTTTTGCACAAGACACCGCCTCAATGAAAAAAACACAGCTACTTTCAGAAACAAGTTTGATACGGTGCAGGGGGAGGGGGGGGGGGGCTCCATTTGACCCCTTAAGTGAGGCTTCCTGTAGTCATTTGTTGGTTTTCTTGTAGATAGAAATAACAGTCAGTACAATAAGAAAGCTCATTATACCTTTTTACAAACACACGCACACACACACACACCCTTACACATACATACTGACACAAATGATGAATGGATAAATAAATTAATGAATAAGTATATAAGGAAATATAGGTGTATCAAAATTATGTAAATTAATTCATAAATGAATTCATAAATGAAAATTAATAAACAAATAATTAAATGCAATACACTGTAAAACAAAGTAATATAAAGTACACAAATATTTTAGACCCATCATATCAATAAATCAAATTATATTAATGTTACTAAATAAATTATGATTGGCAAGTTCATGAATCCTACGTTCACACATGTAAATCATATTACTCAATTAATATAGGCCTATTAGTAAATCATGTAATTGTAATTTCTAACATTTTTTTCTTCTTCTTCTTCAGCTAATTAAGCGTGATCAGGAGAGTGTGACTAACTTCTACTGGATAGCATTCCATGTCAAAGTCAAGGGTAATAAAGACATTCAATACGTGTTGATACTACAATAATGACGATATAGGCCTACGATAATTATCATCCGGACAACTAGCCATGTATGGTTACTGTGACACATCCAGACAAATAATAATAATAATAATAATATCGAATATTTAGGAGCGCTAAAAACAATAAGTATACCATAGCGCTTACAAATACAAATATAATTGTAAAGAGGACAAGAAAGTACAGTACAGGAAGTATGTCATCTTTTGAAGGTGGCAAGACAGGTAATACGTGTGTAAAATAAATATCATCCGGACAACTATCCATGTATAGAATAACTATTATCCAGACCAATAGCCTAGTTATGTTAGACAACTGTGACACATTCAGAAAAAGGTCATTTCGTGGTACGGATAGATAGCATTGTTTCTTTAGCTTTCGTTGATATTGTCTGATTTCTGCTTTCTGTCGAGTCTGTATTATTTTATCTCCATTTGCTGCTGCTTGTCGATCAGTATTATTTCTTTCTTTCTTTGTTTATTAAATTATATTTTTTTAATTTAAAATCAAAGTTCTCCATTCCTGTCCTCCCTTTTGATTTTTTTTTTTGCGAAGGTTGAAAAACGCTCCGCCGGGAATCAAACCCGGGTCACTGGCTTCGGCGACACCAGATTCAATATTGTTCAAGAATTATAATATGTATATATAACCATATACATGTATATATAATTATATAATGTGATGGCAAGTTTATTTGTAACATTCACCTTTCTTTGCAAAGTTTACAACATAGTCGGAAATTAAGATGCAAACAATGGTCTCTGTTTTAAGCTGAAGTCATCATTGGAGTTCTTTAGAAATTTAATCTGAAACAATGATGAGAAGATACAATCATTCGAATGGCATCTCTGAAACTCCCAAAGCACTAAACAGTCGAGCGTGTGAGAACAATCGACAAACATACATAGCGAAGACAATAATCATTGTAAAAAAATACGTTTCTGTACATCTTGTGCCCATATTTTCATGCGTTACCCCGTAACAGGAGAATTTGCCGTGTAAATCTTTTAAACATATTGACAAAGTTTTTATAAATTTAACCTTTTTTTTCTTCTTCAGTTTCCAATATATATGTCATTATCTAGTACTAAGGCTAACATGATTTTCGTTGAAATATGACTGTCAGTCATAAATAGAAAAGGGAAGGTGGAGGCAATTCTAAACTTTGAAATGCAAATGTTTTTTGCAACTGTACATTATAAGGCATCAAATATACCGAAGTTGACAAACGTGAAGAAAACAGAAGAAGAACAAAAGTTTTGTAGTGCTCTGATGAAAAGAAGAAGAAATCTTTTAAAGCCCGTCTGTACTAGTTTGGCCAGGGGGGTTAGACCTCCCTGCAGGGTCACTGACAGGTGGTTATCTCATCAAATCAGCTCTCAATTAACATAAGAATAAGGGGATCATGGGGGACCAACAGGCACCGATTAGGCATTGTTTGCTATATAGAGGGCGCAAGTAGCTATAAGTAGTGCAGTGGGGCTTTAACACTTTCCCATTTATCTGTAATAGGACGGGAACCCATTGTCAAATCGAAGAGGCTAAGCGTCGGACCCGATATCAACAACGCAAAGCATGTCCATGAGGCCTTGCCGCCATGGGCCCGCCCAACCAGGTCCTGGTCTTCTACTCGCAAGTTCCGGTATGATGGGTCTGGAAAGATCCGCCTGGTGTCAGGACAAAGTTCAAGCACAGATCGCTACTTGGGATTCTTTGTAAATTCTCGAGCTCCAGATCTAGAGCCTCGGGCAGAGCCTAAATTCACCATAGATGATTGTGAGTTCTTCGAAATGTTCGAATACTAATCTATGATTATTTTGGGGTTAATACCTCAGTCACACTCACCAAACGAACTCCACTCCGACTCCATATTCTTGGCATTAATGACGGGTCATGTAATACATTGTTCGGGGTGTATTACAGATAAACTTGAGTTCGGGTAAAGATTGAAAAAGAAATGTAATGAGCATAGAAAGATTAAATTCGGGTAAGTTGGCACACCACTAGTCACTATGTTAAAATGGGAGTGGCGGTTTTTATTGGAGATGATGCCCAGTAAGTCTTTATTTGACTGGTTCAAGCAACCAATCTGCTGAAATTTTCTCTCAAAAATACGATTTCCATTTCAGAGCTCAGGATTGGCTTTACACTCTTTAAAAGCGTTTGTCAAAATCAATATTGATAACACCAGTATGCATACCACTGTAAAAGAAAATTATAAAAGTTACCAAAATTACTTAAAAATGTATCTCATTACCCCTTTTGTACCTTTTGTACATTCACAAAAAGTTGAAAGTTAAGCATTTTTATCCCTCCTTGCTTGTAGTCAAAATACAACGTGCTTCTTTTTATTTCGTCTTTACCTCGCCATAGAAAATTAAAGCAAATCTCATCGCCCAAGGCGCTAGCCGAGGGTGTTTGGACTGTTTTGAAGGTACCGAGTGTGGGTAATTTTACTAATGCCTGAACAAAATGCTGTGTATTATTTGTTTTATAAGATTATGTTTTATTTGTTTTATAAAATGATGTTTTCTAACATGATTTTGATAATGACGGGTCATTATCCAAATTACGCGCAAAATTAAGGCAACATAAGTGCCTGGTCACGTGTACGCTTTCAACCAATCATTAGGGTCCACGTCATCATCTTATAAACCTTATTAACTCACTCCAACAAGACCGCGGCACCAGATCGCGACTACAGACCATATATATAAGACTTACATTGTAAGTACACAGTTTTTCGATTTATAACAATAATAATATAAAGGACGATAAGTATTTTTCTGACAATGAATCATAATTAAGCAAATATATATATATATATATATATATATCAATTGTTATTTTCAAAAAACTAAATGATAAACTGTCATCAACTACTAAATTTCCTCAAACATTATTAAATTATATGCGGAAGAAGGACTGTCATTGTAAGCAGATTGCTTGATAATACGACAGACTCAGACAAAACTCATGTATTAAGCAGAACGGATAGGTAATTAAAAACACAAATTTTGATGAAAAGTGATATTGACAGTGCAGATGAGGATGATGATGATGATGATGATAATGATGAAGAAGATGATGATGATGAAGATGATGAAGAAGATGATGATGATGATAATGATGAAGAAGAAGATGATGATGAAGATGATGAAGAAGAAGATGATGATGATGATGATGATAATGATGAAGAAGATGATGACGATGATGATGATGAAGAAGATGATGATGATGATAATGAAGAAGATGATGATGATGATAATGAAGAAGATGATGATGATGATAATGATGAAGAAGATGATGATGATGAGGATGATAATGAAGAAGATGATGATGATGATGATTATGATGGAGAATAAGATGATGATGATGATGATAATGATGAAGAAGATAATGATGGTGAAGATGATGATGGAGAAGATGATGATGATGATAATGAAGAAGAAGATGATGATGATGATGATGATGATGATCGGATGATGATGATGAAGAAGATGATGATGATGAGGATGATAATGAAGAAGATGATGATGATGATGATAATGATGGAGAATAAGATGATGATGATGATGATAATGATGAAGAAGATGATGATGGTGAAGATGATGATGGAGAAGATGATGATGATGATAATGAAGAAGAAGATGATGATGATGATGATGATGATGATCGGATGATAATGATGAAGAAGATGATGATGATGAGGATGATAATGAAGAAGATGATGATGATGATGATAATGATGGAGAATAAGATGATGATGATGATGATAATGATGAAGAAGATAATGATGGTGAAGATGATGATGGAGAAGATGATGATGATGATAATGAAGAAGAAGATGATGATGATGATGATGATGATGATCGGATGATGATGATGAAGAAGATGATGATGATGAGGATGATAATGAAGAAGATGATGATGATGATGATAATGATGGAGAATAAGATGATGATGATGATGATAATGATGAAGAAGATGATGATGGTGAAGATGATGATGGAGAAGATGATGATGATGATAATGAAGAAGAAGATGATGATGATGATGATGATGATGATGATGATGATCGGATGATGATGATGAAGATGATGATGATGATGATGAAGAAGATGATGATGATGATGATGATTGGCTTTGTCACTGGGGCATATAAAGTAGGCTAACTCAATGAATTGCACTCTTTAATCATCAACGAAGTATAATCCCTAATGCGAAAAACTGACTCTAAACTTATTATCATGTTTCTTTACAGTTGTTTTGAATATGCACAAATACGAAGCTACCAGTGACTCAGTCCCGGGGACGGTGGTTGCATTTTCAAGCGAACCCCGAAGAAACGACACGGAGATGCATACCCGGATGCATACTCTCGGCGGGACTCTCGGTTGCTTCGATAGATCAAGTAGTTCAAGTAGTGTCGACGAGGAAGATGAAACCGAGATCGACGGAGAAGCTTGCCAGTGCTTGTCGGGAAGTACAAGCGGTCCATTGATGTTGGAAGTAAGTTTACATAACTATATGACAGTGTATCTTCAGTCATGCAGACACAACTTCGAAAAACCAAGAAGGCATGCAGTCATCCCGGTGGTATGTAGAAATACTGTAAGCATATGCGTGACCACAGGTTTTCCAGACACCCCCTAAAAGAGGAAACAGCGAATAATGTACAGTTACTATAGTGCCCTTATCATGCATTGCTTGGCAGTGTACGAGGCATCCATTTTCGTATGTTTGCCATTTGGAAGAAAATTTTACATAATCCTTCATGGATTTTGAAAAAGATTTGAACCTCAGCATTATTTTACAAAAGGAATGCTATATCGATTATGTTGACTAATTCGAAGGTTTTCCCCGTGCCTTTAAAACCGTATCCGGACACCTACCCCCTGGACATCCACCCCCCGCATAACCACCCCCAGTCAACTACCCCCTAGGTCAACCACCCTCTAGGACGACTACCCCCCAGAACAACTACCCCCGGACAACTACCCACTAGGTCAACTACCCCCTAAGACATCTACCCCTGGACAACTACCCCCAGACAACTACCCCTAGAATATTTGTCCGGGGTAGTTGTCCTAGAGGATGGCTGTCGTAGAGGGCAGTTGTCGGGAAGGGGGGGGGGGTAGTTGATCTAGGTGTAGTTGTTCAGGGGGGTAGATCATAGATGTCCTAGGGGGTAGTTGTCTGGGGGCTAGTTGTCCGGGGCTAGTTGTCCCGGGGGGGGGGGGGGGGTCGCCCTAGAGGATGGTTGCCCTAGGGGGTAGTTGTCCTAGTGGGTAGTTGACTGAGGGGTGGTTATCCGGGTGTGGATGTCCAGGGTGTAGATGTCCTAGAATCCTTTTAAACACACTGGCTCGCATTGAACGTTGAGAACGCTATACACTGAGCGTTATTCGCTGTTTTACAAGTATTTGCCTGGACTCGGCTTCCGAAGTTATATCTGACTGACCCTATATAGGAGTATTGCTTTTCATCAGTATTATTAGAATTAGCCTCATTAATTACACTTCATCGTTACATTATTTTCTATCAATATTTTTTTAATTCATTTTAAACCTCATGCAATTTCAATAGCCTTGCAAGTGCCCAACACCTTTTTAAATACATGTAGGCCTATTCGAATATTACAATGTTGTATAACGCAGTCCCAAAGTGACGAAATCAGTGGGATATATAGCACGGTTGTAAACGCCATGAGTTGATATCTCCAAAGTTGTGTTTTAATGGTTATGTCGTTTTTCTGAAGGTCCATAATTCCAAAAGGTTCGTTATTCGTATTTCCGAAAATGAAATGTAGGATCCATGATTCCAAAAAGAAAAAATGGTTTTTAATTTCGAAAATAAAATATGGTTTATAATTCAGAAGGTTCATGATTAAAAAAATGACAAAGAATCCTGTATTACTTTCGGAACCCCTGGTATGGAAAATTTATGTTTCGGAATTATGGAGCTTTGGCATATTTGAAGAAAAGGACCTTCGATAAAACGATTACCTCCCGTTAATATGAACTCTCGATTACGATAACCTACAGGATTTTCCGTCGTGGATGACTAACAAGGAACACAAAATATGTGGAAACCGTCGTATGTTCCTTTATACTCTAAATAAGAACGGAACAGGCTCCCTATCGGCTCTCAGTAATGACAGTAAGTTATCAAAGTTCTCCACCTTTCCTATTGTCAGTTTGCCATTATATATGTAGTTTACATCATCATTATTATTTTAAAAATCTAGCATATTAATAAGAAGATAATACGTGCAGAAACGAAACTTGCTAACAATGTAACATTTTAACAAACTTGTTTGTAGAAAGGTAATAATTATGGCTGCGCTTGCGCGGTGTCATTTATCAGTTTCGTGGTTTTCATGCTTACCAGTTTTTGGTACAATTTCTATAATTTTGCAGAGTTTTCGGTTAGACAAGTTAGGTTTTATGATAATATTTTTAAAAATATATAATCCTCCCTCACTCACAGAGTTGTACGTCACGTCTGATTCCAAAGGCCCAGCCTGTCTGAAAAGAACGAGGAGTGAGTTGACACTCCTGCAGGTGGAGACATCATCATCAATCTACCCTAATGTACATGACGTCGAATCCTAAAGATATACCAGACCGGTTTTATATTAACATATACAAAATAGGGGACCAAGTATAGTGGCGAGTTACTCCATTCACATTTTTGTAAGGAATAGACTACTTGGAATCTTCTCTGCACACATTACCTGTTGCTATGTCGGGCAAGCCTCGGACGAGCTTCCAGGTTGTCAAGAACAACCTTTGTTTAAACAGTATGCATAAATTTTGCATGTGTTAGTAAACACAATATTGGAAAAAGATGTGTGCACACATGTACATGTATATACAGTTTAACAACTAAAACATTAATCACTCTTGCAAATTAGATGCAATTCTTGAGTTTTTCGTAACGCAAGAATGAAAGGTGGACTTTAGGTTGAATACTTTTAGATGTAAATTTGAATAGGTCACATTCTCAAGAAACAAAGATAGGAACTTATCAGATTTCCACATACAAAAATACCTAACAAATGACAAAACTTTGTAAGGGTATATGAATAATATAGTTCTTAACTAGTTCTACTACACATTATCTTGTTGGCCTTTTACATCATCTTTATAAACATGCAGAAAACAACAGGTCTATATCAACTATTGTATGTACAGATTTTAAAAAGGCTTTTGATCGCTTGGATCACAACATTCTAATTGAAAAAATGGTTAATATGCACATAAGACCTTGGATAATAAGTTGGATCATAAGTTTTTTAGAATGTCGTAAACAAAGTACATTATATAATGGAACTCTGTCTGATATTAAATTTTGTCATGCCGGTGTTCCCCAAGGGACACGCCTTGGCCCAATTCTGTTCTCAATTATGGTTAATGATTTATGTGAAAATATTCCTATACATTACTTCAAATATGTTGATGATTTATCTTTAGTACAATGTCGTAAATCAACAGACGTTTCACAATTACAACCCATACTTAACTCTGTGCAATACTGGTCTCAATCAAACAATATGTCACTCAATCCTTTGAAGTGTTTTACCCTGCAGGTTACTTTTACGAAAAATCCTGCTCCTCCTGAAGTTCTTTCCATTAATGACTCTACTCTATGCAATGTACAAACTCTCAAAATTCTTGGAGTAATTATACAATCTGATTTAAAATGGAATTTACATGTTAATGATTTAGTCAAAAGGTGCAATAGAAAACTGTACATGTTGAGGAAACTTAAGAAATTCAATTTACCGTTTAAAGATTTAGTGACAATATACGTAGGTTATATATGACCAATTTTAGAATATTGTGCTCCGTGTTCCATAGCAGTCTTACGGTAGAACAAAATAATAATCTTGAAAAAATACAACGTAGAGTATGTAAGATTATTTTAGGGCCTAGTTACATTACCTATTCTAATGCATGTCAAGTATGCAATTTACCAACTCTTGAGGAGAGGAGACTAGCACTTTGAAGAAAATTCGCAAAATCCCTTTCAAATCACTCTATTTGTCAGACCTGGTTACCTAAGAAAAAAAACACTAATATCACTCTTCGCCGTATCCCCATTTATCAACAATTTCAATTCAAAACAAAAAGATTTAAAAATAGCCCACTGTCATTTTTAGTTGACATACTCAATAAAAGTTGAAAAACAAAACAAAAAAAAAACTTGGTTTTATTTTTTACTTTTATCGTTATTGCAGGTATACTAAGTGCTTGTCTCCTCCCCCAAGCAGGCTGTTTAAAATGTACCTATTTTAATCTTTTTACCATGCTTGTATTGACTTTTATAGGATATTTGTAAACAATTGCAGCTGTATTTCTGGAAACTTGTGCAATGTGTTTATGGATTTTAGTTACAGTATCTAAGTCTTATTTTTTATATTGCTAGTTTTTTACATGTATATATTTAAAAGTGTTATCCATTGTGCCGAACATGTAAACATGAATATTCCAGCCTAGGCTGTCCTTCATGTAAAATTCTATTTGTATGAACCATGTTTCTGCTAATAAAAACCATTTTTGAATTGAATTGAATTGAATTGAATTAACTGATTATGTAAATTGATATATGTTATATACATATTACAGTGTTTATAAATGGTATTTGAAAATAACAAACTTCTGTAAAAAGGTGTAGACATGGAATATAAATGGTATAAAATACAGATATGATGGAGTAAGGTCTGCAATAAAATTAGAGGTGGATGAATTTAACAATCCACTTGATAACCATGATATAATAATTGTATATCCGATAAAAAAAGTAGATGGAAGTATTGCAAATAGATGGTTTAACAGTAAAAACAATCCTTAGCAAACGTAGTATACGAGAGCAACACATGATTCTGGTGGTTTAGTAATTTATGTCAGAAATGAAATAAAGAAAAGTGTCAAAGCATGGGTCATAAAAATTAAGATACAGGCTTTTAATATGAGTGACGATACGTCTATCTTTTATCCATACAATTCAAGTCATACGTCGGATATTTGTAAAGCAGGCAGTATATTTAGGTCTTGCTATTTCTACATGTGGTTCATTTAGTAATAGATTAATAACTCTGGCAAACTGCACCTGTGGAGAGATCCAAACTATGGATCATGTCATTGACGATTGTCCTATCCCCTCACGGTGCTTCCGGACTTCGTGAGCTCGACGATGAGACAATCAGTTAAGGATCTTCCTATCTAGATGATGTTCTTTGCGATTATTTATGATTTGTGGAGCATCTTCCAAAAATTAAGATAGCTGTTCGTTTATTGAATTTCCTTGTTAAACCCCTCCTTTTATGTGGTTCAGAAGTATGGGGTGCTTTTGTAGTGAATTTTGAGATATTGGTTAAGAATGAAAAGGGGAATTCAAAAATGTTTTTATAAATGTTATAGAAAGTGTTCATTTGCAATGGATAAGAAATATTGTATAGGGGTAAATAAAAAGAGTAGTGAATTGGTTGTGTTGGCTGAGCTGGAGAATACACTATGATTATGTATCGATGACAAATTTTAATGAAATATTGGATTCGCATGAAAAGTGTTGATAATTTTTTTTTGTTATATTCTTCTTTTCAAGAAAATAGAGAATTTTCAGCGAAATCCACTACATGTTGCAGTTTTATAGTAATGTAGTAATATAGTAATGTTTACAATTTTTTAAAGAAAAGTAATTGATATGTTGACAGAAATAATGACTGTCTAGAATTAGAAAATATAAATAACGATGAAATAGTCGGGAAAGGAAACAGAAATTAAACTTCGAGAAATATATGATTCTCAATTTATAATGGATTTATGCAGTGAATACATATAAGGAAAGTAGAAAATACATTGCGAACATATAGATTGTTTAAGCAAAACATAAAACAAGAGAATTATTTAAATTTTGTAAAAAGTAAAATATTACGTTAACATATTTGCCGATTTAGAATAAGTTCACATAATTTACTCATTAAAATTGATGGCACATACGCCCGAATGAATTACCAACAGATGTACGTACTTGCAATGATTGTAATAGAGGAGAAATTGGAGACGAATATCACACCACCATGGATTGTACAAAATTTAGTCCTAAGACGGAAATATTGTTTGAACAAATTAGTATCATTGGTAATGAATTAAAACAATTGAACAATAAAGACATATTTGTAAAGATAATGAAACTAGACTTTAATAATGTTATTTGTAATTGTATCGAATATATAAAATGTGATATATTTGTAAAAGGAACATTTTGAAAACTGTGTTCATAATGAAACTAGACGTTCATAAAGTTATTTGTAATATTATTTAATATATAAGACGGTTATATTTGTATGTGGGGAAATGTGAAAACTTTGTACAGGCGGAGAAAAAAAGACCATGAACTGCTACGATTACTTTTTGTTTGTTAATTATCTGTAAAAAATTGTCATCATACCTTGTGACGATATTATTTCAATAATTTTTTTTTTTAGATGCATACTGTAGATCACTTTATGAGAAAACTGAAATTACATGTGACAAACCTTTTCTCACGACTCTAAGTGCTTTGAGTGGATTCTGTCATTGATTTATTGTAAGCTCCTTGAGCATCTATCTTTTTTTTTTTTTGGGGGGGGGGGGAGAGAAATAAAGTAATAAATGTCTCTACATCATGGTTAAAGAATATGCACAAACCTTTATGTATAACACATATCTTTTGTGCATGCTTTGTTTTATCTTAAATAAATTGACTTACGTTATACCAATACGTGAGTGATTTCCACAATTATTTTGTAAATATATATATGTTTGATACTTTGATAACAGTTCTGTGTATCTTCAGTAATTTGGTAATCAGAAACTGAGGATTGTTAGAGAGTGATGTCCAAGGTCATTGGCTTGGGGTAAATATGCTTACCATGGTTGTTATAATCACAAATAGATTACCTCGTTGCCTGAATATGAGGTAAAATAGGGTGATTTAAACTTGTAGGGACAACTGCAGCCCCAAGTGCCTGCCTCAAATACCTGTGAAATCGACTGCATGTACTTTTCGTTTGTAAGAATAACAGGAAAGGAAAAGATGTGCTTCTTAAAATTATATATTTATTAAGTATATATTTATATAATTACTGCATCAGTTAAAAAAAATGCTATGAACAGTGTTTTTTAACAGGGAAAAACAGAAAACTATCAACTAATTCCAGTTGGTCTTTGACTAATAAGATGACCCCCCCCCCCCCAAAAAAAAAAAAAAAAGTTTACCTTATCAGTGATCAGGACTGTGTATTTACACTTGCAATGCAATACAAAATTTCATATGGGTTTTTTTGCCCTTTTTCACACTACTTTCAAACTTTGATCTAAAATACTTACATCAAATGAAAAAGCGATTATTCGAGTCAATGTTCATCAATGTTTTGTTACTTTTATTAATTCTCCAATGCACGAAAGGTTGTGAACGTTACGTCAAAATCAATCTCTATGTTTTTTTCAGCGATATGTGTATTTGTTCGTCCTTACAATATATTTGGCCCTACCAGTGAACAAACATGATGAAGGTTTATTACAAGATTTCGTTCAGTTCTTTTCCCATGTTATCATCCACCTTTCCTTCTATATACCCCTTATTTCGATTTAAAATTCAGCTAAGTATCAGCGAAGTAAGGAAAGAAAATGACTAAACCTTTAATTTATTGTTGGAATATATATATATATATATATATAAACACACACACACAATAATAATTATAATAGTGGGTTCTTGTATAGGTCAGACTTGACACTCTTGGCGCTCCGCAATTATTACCCCGGTTAAATGTATATATTTTTGTTTGATATATAAAATTGTTAAAAAAGAAAAATGAAAGCATTATGGTACGTAGCTCTTTGAAAGTTCTTCATTGCCGTCCTCCTTTTTTTAAGAATCGAACCCGGGGCCCTGGCTTAAAAAGCCAGTGACTTAACCACAAAATTGCTTACCTTGGTCAGTTTTGCCAATTTTCTCGGAAAAAGAACGCATTTTAGTCTTCGAAATGAATTGGATATATGCAAACGTGTTGTTAAAGGCCACAGACGGCTCTATAGCAATATTCAAGCCAACACGGACAGACAGTGATGGGTTCAAGCTTGGTGGTCTCCAATTCCCTGCGGTCTCCAATTCCCTACACCTACCCTACACCAACAGTTGTCCACACGCTTTTACTCGGACCAAGTTGCCACGATTAAGGTAACATGACCTTCCACCGACCAGCGTTACTTACGCAGTGCTATTTATAAACAGAGTTTGGCCAACCCGGTTCGAGTTGGACACAATATGGCGACTACTGCTTTGTTGAGCAAGCACACAACGAAAGAATGTAGGGGAACCC